GACAATTTATTGTGTTCACCGTGTGAAATAAAGAAGCTGTCAATTCTAGTTGTTATTGTCAACAAAGGAGACATTCATTTGTCAACAAAAGAGGGTGGTGCAGCTACTCATGGCAGGTTCACACCCAAGTAGGTTTACACTCACATTAGTTGTTTTATGTGACCACGACTTGGAGAGGCATAGGTTTTCTCCAAGATTTCCCAAGCATCACGAGAAGAATCAACACCTTGGATTATTGGGACTATCGTTTCAGAGAGACTGCAAACAAGAGCACCGAAAATCAGCCTGTCTTGCCGAAACCATTGTGGATAGTCGTCATGAGGAACTTGTTTTCCGTCGGTATTAACAGTAGGTGACGGCTTAGGGTGAGAGCCGTCGAGAAATTTAAAGAGATCAAGACCATAGAGCAGCGCCTGAACTTGAGTTTTCCAGGCCAGGAAGTTGGATGAGTTTAGTTTTAGGGTTGCAGGGAATGTTACAACTGTAAGGTTTTTCATGGATGGGTTAACCAAGAAAGACGAGTGGTCTGACATCGGAGATCTTGGATGAACTGGGGATAAAGACTGAGAAGAACTTGGCGAAGAAGAGTTTGAGCCGAGCTCTGATACCATATAGAGAGTTTGATTTGATATCAATAGTTTTAGATGAAAAATCTTATCTATCTATTCAAAACAAAATGGTACGTACATATACAATGAATAAGAGAAATAGCAGGAGAAAATAATGCTATACAACAAACTCTAGTTGACCCATAACAATTTGAATTTAAATACAACAATTAATTTGGCGGTGTCACTTAACATCTAGCATGAGCATAGGTTAAAGAATCATCTTCAAGTACTAGAAAGCAACAATCATTATTGTTAAGGTAATCGAGTTCATAAAACATACGATCTAGCATATTCCGTGCAAATATGAAAAAATAGAGAATGCTTTTAAATGAAAACGTGAAAACGCATGATAAAACATGAAAGAACTTTAGTCCCAAATGGTTTCAACTAAAAAAGATAGAGAATGCTTTTAAATGAAAACGTGAAAACGCATGATAAAACATGAAAGAACTTTAGTCCCAAATGGTTTCAACTTTCGAGCAATTGGATTCCAAGCTCTGGTAAACAAAAGGTGAGCATGCTTTTATCTTGGAACTCAATTAAAGTTACATCCATTTAAAAAAAAGACTAAAACAAATCCACTCACTAAAATCAATTGACCCACACTGATACGGACCCATCCCATACTAGGCTCGCATCATGCCATAAGCCCAAGTGTAGAACTCACTCCCAAAAGCCAGCTTGTAGGAGGAAGAGACACCTAGACTTATAAGCCACCAACTTATAGTACTTTCGGCCGATGTGAGATCATAACAATACCCCACGCTTTGAAGAGCCAACGTTCTCGTTGGTCACGGTTGGCACCCCCTTTTGGTCCAAGCCACCACTCCGAGTCATTGTCCAGCTTGTAGGAGGAGGGGACACCTAGACTTATAAGCCACCAACTTATAGTACTTTCGGCCCCTGTTTTCCATGTCTCCCTCCTACGCGAAGCTCATGGCCAGTCTACTCCCATTCCGCTACCACCTCCAGATTTAACAGCAAGTGACCACACCATGCAATCATGCACAACTCAATTCAACTATCTTCCTCCAGAAGCTCTCCAACTACCCTTAAAAGGCCAAACTCTCATTTCTTAACATAAAAGGCAACACAAAGTCAATTTCCGTAGATTCTCCATGTTTCCCCTTTTAATTCCTTAGTTTTCACTCAACAAAACAAAAGAAATCATTAACAGCCGAATGGAGAAACTATTGACTATTTTATCCCCAACCACTTTAAAGAGCTTTTCACTTTCCCTTCAATTATTCAAAAAGGCCTCACCGGATTCTTGTTGGTACTTTGCTTGATACACCAAATATCCTTGTTTTTATTATACCATCCACTCCAAAATTCCTAGAAACTGAACATGTAATTGATGGATGCATATTCCTACATGTAACGGTGTTTACACTACGGCAAAATTGTGTAAGATGTATGCAAAATGACTGATGTAACCTCCATAGGATATGAAAAATTTATCATGATATAACATGGGATATTATTTGTAATTGATAACATCATTTTATATAGTGAACTTTTTTTCTTTACAAAAAGGTTAATCATGTCTAATGGCCACTTCTTGAGCTACTTGATGTCTTTTAAAGAGTATCTTTTACTCAATGCCATAGTGCTGGTATCTATCAATTACAAATAAAAAAAATAAAAAATAAAAACAAAACTACTCTACTAATACCAATCCAACGGTTAAGATGTATTGTTGAAATAGTCACAAATTTTAATAAGCCAATAATCATATAATTTTGTTGTCTAGTTTTCTATTTAGTTAAGGTTAAATGCAAGAAACAACCACAAACTTTCGTTGGTTTGTTTATTGTAGCATCTTATTTTTCAATTTCTTTCTTTACAACATTGTACTTTGAAAAATCTGTTCAATTAAAAGTTTACAACAATGTCATCCAAATACAAAACAATTTTCATTGTTATAATTGGTCAAAATTTTTAAAGTGCAACGACCTTCAATGAAAAAATTGGAAAGTACGATGCTATAATGGGGTAAAATTTTCAAAAGTACAACGTTTTTATAAAGATTAGGAAACGTCAACATGTTTTCATTGATTTGTTTATCATAACATTGTATGTTCAATACTTCATACAACATTGTACTTTGAACAATCTACCCGATTATAGTAATGTCATCAAAAAACAAAACACCTTTCACTATTATAATAGATTAAATTTTCAATAGAAAAAGGCTTAAAGTACAATGCTATAATTGGGTAGATTTTTTCAAAGTACAAAGTCTTGATGAAGAAAAAAGAAGTCAAAGCACAAAGTAGTAGAAATAAATGAAAGTGTACGCAATTAGTGTGAAAAACTAAGCCCCCGTCAATGATTTATATCAATTATCAACCACCCATCATAATTGAGGAGCTCTACCTTTATTCATGTATAAGATTCCACACATCCCTAAACTTAGCCTTGTAAATTTCCTCCCTTTCTCATACAACAAATGTCTCAAATCAATGAAAAATCACCACAACACTGTGCCAAAAAAAAACTTATAAACATCAACAAGAATCACAAGAAACTATTCTACACATTCACCACCTTCATTCTCTCAATCCTCTTACTCATACTTGTCATATGGTTCATACTCCATCCTTCTAAGCCACAATTCTCCCTCAAAGAAGCTGATATTTACCAACTTACCCTCTCAAAGTCTCACCTCCTCAACTCCTCTATCCAAATCACCCTTCTCTCAAACAATCCAAACCAGAAAGTTGGTATTTACTACGATGACATCCAAGTTTATGCTTCTTACAAGGGTCAACAAATAACCCTTGATTCATCTGTCCCACCCTTTTACCAAGATTATAAAGACAGCAATCTTTTATCAATGGTTTTGGTTGCAAACGGGTTACCCGTGGATCCATCATTTGGGTATGAAGTGGGTCGTGATCAAATGGCAGGAAGATTGGTTTTAAGTATCAAGGCAAATGGAGAACTCAGATGGAAAGTGGGAACTTGGGTTTCTGGAAGGTATAGGTTTAATGTAAATTGTGTTGTTGTTTTGCCTTTTGGTCAATCTGTACCTTCAGGTCCGTTGACTTCTAAAGGGAGTCAGTGTTCTACCACAGTTTGAAACTTGGACCAAAATATCGTATCAATTACGGTTTTACATTAGCATATATATACATGGATTTGATTTTAGAATGATGATTTGACTTTGTTGAATATGTAAATTTATAGCAAAATGTTTATAGTTTGGTTTGTAATCTTATATTCTCTTTTTTATTTTCTCTACCACATATAATGAAAGTATTTGAAGCCAATTTTGAAGCCACTTCTTTATTTTCAGATAATGGGAGTCATTTTCAATCAACACCACATACCAATGACCACAAACTCTTATAATGGAAACGACCCTAATCTTTTTTGTTGTCTGGTCTCCACATAAAAATCATCATCAAACACAAACTCTCATAATGCAAAAGACCCTAATCCTCTATAGGTATGCTATATTTAGGGTACATACTTTGTCTTTAGGGAAAATGAAAGTGGCACATTCCCAAATGGTGAAGGACTGCAAAGGATCAGATGAATAGTCTCTTTTAAAATTTTTACAAAAGTGCCCTTAAGAAAGAGGTGATTCTTTCTAAAGTGTGGTTGAAAGCTTCACAAAAGCAAAATCACTTCCAATGACATGTAATGATTGCCACCATGGAGTAATTCCATTGAATAGCAATGTATTCACTACTTTGTGGTTATGACTATTTAGGTCAACATACTTTGATTCCAATCACTGAAATCATGTAAATTATCAAAATCAATGATCAAGGATACAATACACAGTTGGGAACACCAAAATTTACAAACTTTTAAGTTTTAACCATAAATCAAAAGCTATTCTGTCATCCCACATTGATATAAAAAACATAAAGAGTTCACACTCATTGTATATTTAGGTCCAAGAAAGATAAGATTTAACCCTTTTTGAAGCAAAAAGAAGCTTCTATCTATTACAAGTACACCTCAAGATCATATAGGCAAAAATGCTGCATGCAAAATTCAAGACGAAAGAGTATAAGAATCAACCCATTTCCAGTAATGCTTCTTACAAGAAATAGCTCTTTCGGCCTCTTGATTTTCATCCAGATTATGATATTCTTCCTCCTCTTCAGTACAGAATTCGCAATCTGGTAAACCATCAACAAAAGCATCTACTGTATGTAAAACATAACAAGCTGGTAATCCGGGGTAGGAGACAGATACCCTTTCCTCCACTTTACTCGAATACGAATTGGGTATAATTTTCACAATGTCATCGTCGCTAACATGGCTACAGGAAACCCTAATGATGGAGCCAAGTTCTTCCTTCACAGCTCTAACAACAGCCGCTTCCACCGTCTCACCAGGCTTCATTTTTTCGGACAGTGGTCTGGACCTGTTACGAACATCGCCGTTTGACAGCTGTTGATGGGATTCAATCAAGATTCGGTTTTGATGATCCCTAACGCGAACCACCACGACTTCGACTGTACGGACAGGCGGAGTGGAGTCAGCGAGAGAGGTTTCGCCCTCGGATAGCTCAAGCCAGAGATTATGAACGTTCTTTGTGCCGGGTCTGGTACCCCACGCGGCGAAAGAATCGGAGGGGAGACGAGGGCGGAGCCACTCGGAGAGGGATTGTGGGGATGCAAAGTGGTGGTGGTTGTGGTTGATGGCGGGTGTCTTGGTGGTGGTGGTCAAAGGCATGATTGGGAATTTGAAGAAACGACGATGTGGGTTCAAATTGGTGGTGGGTTTGGGGGAAGAAGATGAGTAGAATACGAAGAGGGAGAAAGCAGAAAAGATAAAATCAGAGAGTGAATTTGGATTGGGTTTGCTTAGTGAGGGCGGCGGTGGCGGAGACATGTGTTAATTAACGAAATGAAGTTGTAAAGATCACCGGAAGTTTGATTAATGCCATTTGTAGAATGAGGAGAACAAGATAAAGTAGGAAGTGGAACAAAGGGAGATTGAGTCGTAAGATGTGCGGATCGAGCTGCTTGAAATGTCCAACGATCAGAGGATTCTTGATTTTGTGATTGGTTGTCCAGCATCCAAAGAAATGGAATACCTTTCCCCCTTTTCCACAATAACCTCATTTTCTAAATACATTTATCTAATAATTTTTCAAACAATATTATTGCTAAATATTTCAATAATTAATTACATAACTTTTACAACATTATGTTATAGACTATAGATATAAAAAATAATATATCCCACACTTTATTTTGTTGTAACTTATTTTTTTATTTAATTTTAACTATCCTATATTATATATATATTTTTTATATCCATATAAAGACCTGTCATAGAATTAAGTTTCACCTAAAGGGTGTTTGTTTGATCTTTTAATTAATAATCACATAAAAATGTTGGCTCTGGATCGTTTAGATTCATAACGTTTGGTTGAAACTTTTTTAGCCTCTTAATCGGTTGGATATAACAGAAAATGGTCTTAATCGGTTAGATATATTGAGGAGTCTGGATGAAAAGTTTTTCATGTGATACCCTTGCCCTAAAAATAAAAAAACGTCTGCCGTTTTTTTCTTCCCATCGAGTAGTCTTCCCTCACTCTCCCTTTTTTAGTCGTCGATTCTCGCTTTCCCATTGGACTTCCGGCAGCGTAGCTCCGCCTCCCCCTTCGCTGGTAATTTTTCTACTTTTTTTTATGGTCGATTTTTTAAGCATCTTTTTGGTCGATTTTTTCAAGCCCTAAAACCTGTTATCTTTGTGTTTGATTTGTGTTCTTGTTGAGTTGTGTTTTTGTTGCTCGATTTATGTGAAATCAATTTTTTCAAGCCCTAAAACATGTTATGTTTGTGTTTGATATGTGTTCTTGCTAAGTTGCGTTTTTGCTACTTTATGTTAGATTGAAACTCCGAAAATATGTGTTAAGTTTGTTGCTGAAATCTGTTATGTTCTTGCTCGATTTTTCCTGTTCCGTTGTTGCTCTATTTGTGTGGTAGTTTTGTTGCTAAAACTTGTTGTTGTTGGATTTTGAATACTAGACATGGCACAAATGAGACAAAAGAGGCATAGAACTAATTGGAAATAGATAGAAGGTGTGGAAAAACATTTCTTGAAGCTTGTATAGTTGTATTTATGAATTTATAACTTACAGACATGCATGGTGTAGTTTAAAAGTGAACTCGTGGAAGAATGTAACTAAAAGATTGAAAACATAATACAATTTTATAGTTGATGAAAAACAGATGAAAAACCGATACGACTACTTGAAAGCAAAGTTTGGTGTTTGGTTAATTTAAAAAACAAAACAAGAAAAGTTTATAACTCTATAACTAACATGTTTAACATGGAAGAAGACAAATAGAAATTGGAGATCAAGGTACTGTGATTTTTGCTAAAAACGTAATATTTTACAATATTTTATAATATTTCATAATATTCATAATATTTTCAAGCAGTCGAAGAGAATGGTAGAAACTTTGAGAACTTCTCCATTAATGTACCTTGATCTTGGTGTTAAGTTGTTCGATGGGTCGACTTCGATTAGCGTGGATGGTTAGGGGCCATCTTCTACACTTTCTCACCCTTCTCATGACTCGCCTGTCATTAATTTAAATGAATTTGACAATATTAATGTAACTCATATGGAAGTATGACTTCACCTGAAAGTCCAAATGAAGGAACCTCTAGTCTTTCCAAAAACAAAGGAGCGAATGAAAAAGGAAAAACAACAATTAATCCAAAGATCATTGAAGTCTGTGATGAAATTAGAAAAGTTGGAAGGATGTTAGTGGAGAAACATAAATATAACAATATGACATCATGTATGGAAAAGTTGGTGAAAATGGAGTGTGAAATATTTGATCCAAGATACCAAACATCTATTTTGCTTTTTGGTGAACAAACTCGTTATAGGGGTAGAGGAAAAGGTGGATGCTATCAAAATGTTAATGAAATTTGTAATTTTGATATGATATTCACGTTTGTATGGGCCGGTTGAACGAGCATAACACATGATTCACAAGTTCTAAAAGAAGTTGCATTTAACACAACTTCCGGCTTTTCATTCCCTCCACCAGGTTTGTAATCCTTTTAACTTTAATTATTAAATACATTATCTATTTTTCATATAACAATTGCAACACTCACTTTTACAGACAAATATTACCTTTGCGATGTCTCATACACTAACACTCATGGATGTATGGCTCCCTACGATAATACCAAGTATTGATTAAACGATTTTCGAAGACAACATCCATTAACTAAGGAGGAAAAGTTAAACCATGCTCACGCACAACTCAAAAATGTTATTGAGTTCGCTTATGGTGTTTTGAAGGCGATATTCTCAATCCTAAAGCAAATGGGTCCTTATCATTTTCCAATACAAAGAGACATAGTGCTTGCTTGTTTTGCAGTCCATAATTTTATAAGGAAATGTAATATTCATGATCACTTACTTGAGCTCGGCTGATTGCACGCATCACACCATTTTCTTTGTAAAAATCTTTTTAGAAAAATTATTTCTTCAAAATGTTTACTAATTCCTCAGTTTGAGTTCAGACACACCTAAGAGTGTGCTAGAATCCTTTAAACCAAGGATCTGATACCAACTTGCAACGTCCCAAAATGCCAATAAAATTTTTCATTTTAAACATCGATTCATATAACCAATTGTTCCAAAACCAAATAAAGTAAAAGTGTATTTTTCAAACATCAGAGTATCTCAAAGGTAACCAATACGGAAAAAGCCATCAGGGGATGCGATGCAGTCAAGCCGGACCCTTCCCTTTGAAACTGGTAGTACCTAAAAAATTTTAAACCACAAACCGTAAGAACAAAGCTCAGTGAGTTCCCCAAAATACCACATACCATATAAATGGGCCCAGCCCAACATATAAAAAAATGGTCCCAACCAACATATAAATAAATAGGCCCATCCCAACATATATATAAATGGACCCAACCCAAAATATAAATAAATGAGTCTAACCCAACATACACATGCAAGAGTCACAAAGACAACTAGCAACCTACATAGCACTAGGGATGAGAATTCCGCCCGGAAACCCGAACCTAACCGAACCGAACCGAATTAGGCCCGAATAAACAATTCGATTCGAGTTTCAGGTACCTATATTATGCTTATTTGGTTTTTGGATTATTCGGTCCGGGTTACCCAAATAAGAGCTTATCCGGTTCTAAATATTTGACCCGAATAAGCATTCCCCGTCCCCTTTCTCTAATCGACAGAAATCAAAATCACGATTCACACTTTTGTCCTCGTCGTTCATAACAAGAAAAAAAACTCTATGCTCATTCTTGTCATTTCAAAATCGACCAA